AGATTGAAATTAGAACTCTTCAACACAGGAGCAGAGGATAGCAAGCGCTTCAACCTTTTGAACGAGTCTGAACAATCTCTAGTCCAGGTGAACTGAACTTTGCTACTAGTAAGCTCAGTAAGAGGAGCTGCAATCTGAGAAAAGTTTGGACAGAACCTGCGATAATATCCTGCCATACCCAGGAATCTCTGTACTCCTTTCCTATCCTGTGGCACTGGAAATTCAGAAATTGCACGAACCTTAGCCTCAATAGGAGCAACCTCACCTTGGCCGATACAAAAGCCTAGATAGGTAATCTTGGCTTGACCAAAACTACATTTGGCTAAGTTAACAGTGAAGTTGTAGTGCGCCAGTCTCTCAAACAATGCTCTGAGACGCGTCAAGTGCTGTTCCCACTCGTCACTGTACACCACTAAGTCGTCAAGGTAGGCTTCTACTCCTTCTAAGTTGTGGGTCAACTCGTTCATTATACGTTGGAATGAAGAAGCCGCGTTACATAGGCCGAAGGGGGTGACGAGGTAGTTAAACAATCCATCTTGAACAGTAAAAGCAGATATTTCTTGAGCACGTTCAGTAAGCGGGACTTGATAATAGCCTCGTAAGAGATCTAAACGGCTGACAAACTGGGCTCCTGACACACGGTCAATAAGGTCGTCAATGCGAGGTAGAGGATAACCATCAGGCAAGGTGACAGAGTTCACTTTCCTGTAATCAGTGCACATCCTGAAACTACCGTCAGGTTTAGGCACTAAAATACAGGGAGATGCCCATGGACTTTTACTGCGCTCAATAAGTCCGTGAGCTAACAGAAAATCAACCTCTTCTCTCAATGCTTTATGCTTCGTTGGACTCATTCTATATGGTGATTGCTTAATGGGTGATGCTCCCTGTACATCAACGTCATGTACACCCAGAGTACAACGTTTAGGAACATCACCGAACAATTCAGGGAAATGCAAAATCATGTTTTTAATATCAGCAGCTTTATCAATCCCAAGGTTACTAAGAAAATCGTCTAGTGACTGTAGAGTCACTGAATTTTCTAAACGAACCTCTATACCTCTAGAGATGTCAGGAAGACTGACGTTTTCTTCCTCTGTCCTAGGAAGAATAGAAGTAGTAGGTAGAGGACTAGCGTAGTATGCCTTAAGCTGGTTAACATGGTACACATGATTAGATTTCTTTTTCCCAGGCGTACGTACCAAATAATTTACGTCGCTAAGCTTTTTCACTACTTCCAGGGGACCATCATACCTGGCTTGTAGAGCATGACCTGGTACTAATTTCCGAGCCATCACCTTATCTCCTGCTTTAAAAGAACGAGAGACAGCACGCTTGTCATAATGCTGCTTCATTCTAGCTTGGGCTGAAACTAGGTTTTTCGAAGCTAGCTCTCTAGCGGCTGTCAAATGTTGCTGCAATAATGAAGGTGAAGTACTCAATGATGGATTTGATTTTCCTGTCCACACGTCTTTCAACACTGCAAGAGGACCACGCACTTGGTGTCCGAATATTAATTCAAACGGACTAAATCCGAGACTTTCTTGTTCACTTTCTCTCATAGCGAACAGAAGAAAAGGTATACCCTCATCCCAGTCTCTAGAAAAATGTTCACAATAAGCTCTCATCATGGATTTCAGTGTCTGATGAAATCTCTCTAGAGCACCTTGTGACTGTGGATGATAACTGGTTGAAAGTACAGACTTTATTCCTAGGTGGGATAATGCTTCTCGAAAGATCTTAGAAGTGAAGTTAGATCCCTGATCTGATTGTATCTCTCGTGGCAATCCAACCTGGGAGAAAAATTTCATCAGCGCTCTCACAATAGCACGAGCATTAATTTTTCTCATAGGAATAGCTTCGGGATAGCGTGTTGCAGCGTCCATAATAGTAAATAAGTATTGGTTTCCTAGTTTGGTTCTAGGCAAAGGACCAACACAATCAATAATAAGACGTGAGAATGGTTCACCATGCACGGTGATAGGAATGAGAGGCGCAGGTGGAGGTGTGTGCGCTGGCTTGCCTGTCACTTGACACACGTGGCAACGTCGCACATGATCAGCTACTGTTTCCTTCATCTTTGGCCAAGTAAAATGTTTTGCCAGTTTACCGAGTGTCTTCTTGACACCCAAATGTCCTCCTATGGGACTATTGTGAGCAAAATCAATGGCTTGTTCACGAAATGTAACTGGTAACACTACGGAATGCTTGACTGTGATGGAAACACTATCAGCTGACAACTTACATGTAGTTTTCTCCATCAGTACACCGTTACTATAATAGTAACAATTATCGAGATCCTTTGCTTCACTCTCAGTAACTGCTATATCTTTCAGTCTTTCCAGTGACTGATCAACAAACTGATCCTTGATTAAATCATCATGAGTTAGAAATTTAACGTCAGTTGTGTCCTGACTAGGTTGATGACCGGGGGGAGTCAGTGTTAATGATCCTGGGCGCAGAGCGTCACTAAACAACATATTCAACCCCAAATCATTGTCATCCACTAACTCAACAGGAGACAAGGATGGTTGTTGAATCTTAGACATAGCTCTAGTAATTGCGCTGAGAGGAAATAAAATAGGTTTCTCTTTGGAAATGTTCTTCGTTCAATCTCCTCTGTGCCTCTATTTGTGCAGTCTGCAACATAATGAGGCGTTCCAACCTCTCAAACTGTTCCTGAGAGATAGGACCAGTGGGTAATGGAGGAGTAGGGAAATTAACATGGTCTGGACGGTCCTTAGGTCGGACACTTGGTCCAGCCGTCTCTAGAGAGTCTAGATCTGGTCTAGGATAAGTAAATACAGGTGTAGTATACACTGTACTAGTATTAGGCTGTGTCATACTACCAGCTACACTCTGTGCTATAGTGTCAGTGAGGCGGGAAGGTGTGAGCGAGAACTGAGCTACACTTGGCTCAGACACTAGGCTCACTTCTGCTCTAGTTGCTCTTTCTTCAACTTCAAATAGAGCCATACTTCCTAATTGTGACACTAGGTTTTCAGAATCTGAATCATAATCAGACATCTCTGTATGAGCAGGAAACAATATATCTTTAATTAATGCTCTGACAGTTTCTGCGGTGTAATTCCTGTTATACGTCACACCGAGATACTTGGCTACTTGCCAACAAGTCTGAAGTTTTAATGTACTTAACTCAGACAAAGTCAGAGTATCAATTAACTGTTTCACTTTGGCATACATCACGAAAATAATTGTACTACGAGAGAGTGATTATGGGAAACTATAATCCTAATAGGAATTTTAGTGTTGGTTGTCTTAGAGCTAGAACTCAAACAGTATTTCCATCTCCTTGGATCAAGAGACTCAGTCAGGTACATACATCCACCTGGTATGTTGTACAAGACTAAACTCAAAGTCTTCAGATTAGGAAAGTACTCAAAGTGTTTGACCATAGATTCACTAGTATGTCAAACTGGACAATTTCTCCAACACCTTGGATCAAGAGATCCCGGACAGTTTCTCCAACACCTTGGATCAAGAGCATCCCGGACAGGCCCCCATTTGTTACAAAAAACGCGATTCTAAAAGCTTAGAGATCTCCAGTGAATACTAGAAAGGACTGCCCTTCTAGCATCCAGCCTGTTACTGGGTTTTCGTAACAAGTAGTCAGTATCCTTGTCCAATTATCCATTAAATTCAGTATGGTTCAATAGTGCTTTAGGATTACAACTGGTAGGCTACTAACTAGAGAAATTAAAATTTAATAAATTTATTAAGTAGTAAGTTGTCTAGAGGTATATTATCAAATTAAATTAATTACAGCAATCAAAATAAAATCAATCTCTCGAGTTCAATATTATTGTGCTGAAAGCACATATCACATTTATAATTCTTAAGTACCGTCAGATACATTAACATTTAATAAGATATTACAAATATGTACAAGTGTGTGTATGCGTGTAAGTGCTCTTTAGTAGTTAGCTATGTCTCAAGACTCGAATAAGACTTAAACAAGTGACTGACAAAGTCCTCAAATAAACTAACTTCTTGACCGACTGGCAACCCGAACAGTCTGCTTGAACAACAAAGAATGCTAAGCCCCAATAGCAATGCAATATCAAGCGACTGCGACACAGAATCAGGAACAAGGAGATAATATAACGACACTAAGTAGGGACCATCTGCAGATCCTCCACCAAAGTTACAAAACTCCCATAATACTGAATCTTCGTTCAGCATAGGAAAAACTGTGACTGTGACAATACACAGGAACCAGTACAAAATTAGGTCAGAAGCTATAGCTCGGGACCTGAGATGTTCAGAGTGTCTATGTGACACACAACCTCAGTACAACGTCGAAAATCACTAAGTCTATACAATGTTCTGTGGAACAAAGTTCTACAGAACTAACAAGAATAATGAGACAGACATCTGTCCAACCAGCAAGCGAGTCTCCAGCAGACTGTCAGACAGACAAGCTGTCCAACCAGCAAGCGAGTCTCCAGCAGACTGTCAGACAGACAAGCTGTCCGACCAGCAAGCGAGTCTCCAGCAGACTGACGATTTCACGAGAGGTGAAGACACCCCCCCCTCGATCACGTGATAGCTACGTGGACAACTGCAGCTCAGAAGCCGGCAGTATAACGAGCGACAAGCGATAATTACAGTAGTTTGACAATCAAGCCTAACTGAGCACATTTTATATACATCCTAACAACATAAGCTAAATAACAATATAACAGTCAAATAATAATATAAAGTCATACATTTACGATTTAGCTATTATCGCAAATATAAGCAATATAAAATTATATGAAAAGATAATATACATTACATATATACATAATAATCATTGTAACCCATTCAGGGGTTGCAACACAAGGTGTGCGGGCCATAGTCTACACATGTGTTTGTAATAAGTGCTAATATTTGAGGTTCTCAGCTCTGTGGTGATGTTGTATTCTCTTCACCAAGTTATTCTTTCTCGTGTATTCTATCGTTGTGTTATTCTTGACCTCATATCATATCCCCAACAGGATTTCTATGCCCCTGGGACCTACATAATTCGGCAAGGCACCAGTGGGGATTCCTTCTACATCCTCCGAGCTGGAAAGGTCCGGGTCACACAGCGAATACCAGGTGAGCTTTAATAATTATTACATTTACAATTAATTATAATAAAACTATTAATAATAATCTAAGTGCATAACTCCATTTCATAGAATTTCCTTCTCACTTTTGTATAATTATTATTATGATTATGTATTATTATTATTATTATTATTATTATTATTATTATTATTAACACATCGGCCGATTCCCACCAAGGCAGGGTGGCCCGAAAAAGAAAAAATTTCATCATTCACTCCATCACTGTCTTGCCAGAGGTGCGCTTACACTACAGTTATAAAACTGCAACATTAACACCCCTCCTTCAGAGTGCAGACACTACTTTCCATCTCAAGGACTCAAGTCCGACCTGCCAGTTTCCCTGAATCCCTTCATAAATGTTACTTTGCTCACACTCCAACAACAGGTCATGTATTAAAAACCATTTGTCTCCATTCACTCCTATCAGATACCCTCACGCATGCTTGCTGCAAGTCCAAACCCCTCGCACACAAAACCTCCTTTACCCTCTCCAACTGATGGCAGAACATGCAGCTCTGCTTATTACAATGATGGCAGAACATGCAGCTCTGCTTATTACAATGATGGCAGAACACGCAGTTCTTATTACAAACACTGATGGCAAAACACGCAGTTCTACTTAGTTATATACACTGAGGGTGGAACACGTAGTTCTGCTTATTACAAACACTGATGGCAAAACACGCTTACTACAAACACTGAGGGCAGAACACGCAGTTCTGCTTATTACAAACAAGATCATTAAGTTACAAATACGACAAGTAAAATTCATAGTTTTCCGTATTATAAAGTACAGTAATTTTCTTATTCAGTTCTTCACTTAACATTTCCAGGGAAAACTGACGAGGAGGACATCAGAGTGCTACAGAAGGGCAGCTACTTTGGGGAACAAGCACTGCTGAGGGAGGAGTGCCGCACTGCCAATGTCATAGCTATGGCACCAGGGGTCGAGTGCCTCACCTTGGATAGAGAGTGAGTTATTAGCTTTATTAATGTTGGTAGAATTACCGACAATGTGTTGTGTTCTTACCTAAGTGCAACTAATGTGACATTTTATTGTGGCAGTTTCGCTCTTGGAGAGCGAAACGTTGCCACATTAAAATGTCACATTAGTTGCACTTGTGTCCTTTTAAGTTATTTGTTGCCTTGAAAGGGATAAAGTTCCCTACTATAATGAAAGATGCCATTTGCTTTATTTTTTCCCCAGCCACAAGTGCGAAGCTTTTCAGAAGCTGAATTATATTTAATTTAATAATTCACATTAAGCACTAAACCCATGTGGGTTATTCAGTGCAAGATGTGGGCAACCAGAGTATCTGTTTGCAGTTTCCTCCTCCTCAGATCATTAATTTTGTCCTCGAGTTACGGCACTGACAGTTTTCCCCAAAGAAGCTCTGAGCTTGATGCTATCAGTGGGAGGGGAACAATCGATCTACTGGTAGGATGATCTCATTGCACTGATGGCTGGCTAGTTGACTGAGAAAGTTTCACAATTGGAAGAAGTAATGAAATCTAATATCCTCTCGCTTTATGCCTTCACCTGTTAGAGATATCTAATGAAGAGTCTGTGCCTTCCTCTAATACTGTTATCAAGGAACCAGATGTTTAGCTCACTGGTCAGTGATTTTCCTAACTGCTATGCAGAGGAGAAATGGGGAAAGAGGACACCCCTGCTGAATGCTCTTTGATGAAGTGACTTCATGCTCCCCAAGCAACAACGTTGAAGAGTACGAGTCTAGGGAAATGTCTGAACAAATATCACTACTATATCTCTTTTTAATAGAATGAAGGCATTCTTGAAACCCAGGGTGGCCCGTGGCCTGGTGGAAAAAGTTCTCCTTCACATGGTGATTGTCCGGGTTCGATTCCCGACAAGGGTAAAACATTGGGAGTTTCCTTACACCGGTTGTCCATGTTCAACCATCAGTAAAGTGGGTACCTGGGTGTTAGTCGACTGGTCGCATCCCGGGACAAAATTGACCTAATTTGCCCGAAATGCTCTACATAACAAGTGGCTTCTATCTAGTCATTGATGTACTTGTAGAAATAGATATTATTATATCATTATAATTTTATTAATGTTCCATCTTCGAGCACATTATTAATGTATGACCATGCTGTATAAATCACTTGTTCGCTGCTTTACTGTGCTCCTCAAGCAATATGGCCGCTTCTGTACGTATACTTATGACGGCTGTTTTTACAGAGTACGTTTACACACTGTATAACTCACGGAACTGGCAAAGATTCAAACTAATGGAAAGACATTCCATAAACTAAGCGACTAGTGCTGTAACCACTGTACCATGCTAGACTAATAAGATTAGTCATACTAGGTGCACCTCTTTAAACTAGGAAGGTTAACTAATGAGCAACACTGTGACCACAGATACTACTTTTTACATTGCACTCCTGGCCGATGTCATGGTAAGTTTTATGGACATGGATTGCGCAATGTAAAATATAATTCTGAAAAGTTTTACTTGTGATAACGATTTGTATAATATAATAGTGAATTGTTCACGACAGTGACTAGTTCACTCTTATATTTTATAAATTATTACTTATTTTATTGATATTGGTATTATAGGTTGATACTGATACTTTAAATTTGTTATATAAATGTTAGAAATGCAGAATAAGGAAGAGGTTCTAGTGTTTTGTAAATACAATAAACATCAGCAACAGATACAAGTTCTTACAAATGAAAGTCAAGTCAACATGGCTGTTGTAAGCTCCATCTTCATGATTATATTGTTTATCATAATTGCTTCATTTTTCAGTAAAAGTATTTCACTTGTCTTGAGTTTAACATAATCAGTTTCGCGTAATAGTTATGCTCAAAATAATACTGCTGATGATTGTTATGAGCAGGTAAAAGGGGAATGAATCAGCCATAGTCAGAGTGAATCATTTCTATGAAAGTCTGACCTCGGGAAAGGTCATCAAACACGTTGCCACCACAGCCGTTTTTCAGTGATTCACTTCAATAATTTGCATAAGGGTCATTACATGATTGTAACCAACTCATGTTCATAAGATTCAATGATTCACTGTTACATACTATATATACTCCTCAAGGAAGGTTCCTTGATGTTGTTGAGGGGCTCTTGATTTAGGGAATTGGATCTGTGCTCCAGTTCCCCGAATTAAGCCTGAATGCCTTCCACATCCCTCCCTAGGCGCTGTATAATCCTCCGGGTTTAGCGCTTCCCCTTGATTATAATAATAACATACTATATATACATGAAAACTCAAATATGTTTTAGTAACCAGTACAATAGTAAAACTAATGTGATTTATTATGTTATTTTGTAATTCATATGTTCTTTCTCGACAGATCGTTTATTCAACTTATTGGTGACCTCTCTGAGCTCCGGGACAAGGACTATGGTGACGAGACACGTGGGGTCAGTAGACCTATCACTGGCCCACACAATATTGATGCTGTCGCAGGTACGATCATAATACAATTTAGTTTCGGTATTGGTTTTCTTAGCTTTAGCTCAATAATTCTGGTAGTTACATTATTGCTATATATTAAATGAAGACTTATATAAATCATGAAGGTTGTGGAAATTTGTCTGCACTGCCTCCATGTCAGTTGTCTACCCTAGCAAGCTCTGTTGACACCGAGCCCTGAGGTCAGTACCTCAGCCTCAAGTGGCTTATAGGACAGATTTCCATAAATGACTGATGTTGCAAGAAATCTCGCCTGCATGCACGTATAAAGGACTAACTTGGTGTTGGAGAATATATTCTGGTCTTCAACCTCCCTAAGCTTTAGCCCCTCTGGGCTTCCCCTCAGAACCACATGCAACCAGGAGCCTTAATTCCTGCAATATTCAGTCGGTATTAGTGACCTGCCTGAACCTCAGAAATTCCTGTTTCCAAGGGGGTGTGTATCCCCTAGTATAACTATGCAGAAATAGACACTAGCTTCTAAGCCTGATGGAGTGACGCTCGTATGTACTGGTCATGGGCCGCCCGTCTGCACAAAGGCCCACAGCTCAACTCGCTTGCAAATTCCCCCCAGAAACTGGCCAGAAAACTGAGAAGGAAAGGGAGGTCTTGTCTTACTGTATGGGCCTGAAGGAGGAGGACATCTACAGTACGTAGAGGTGCCTCCACCAGATTTCCCCAGGGCCTAGTATGTGTAGACACGTGGGGCGCCGCCCTGATGTTCTCGGCACTTGTTACTCGGTTGGTGTCTGATCTTAGAAAGAGGCACTCGGTCTCAAAACCCCGTGCCCCCAGCACTCAAACTTGGGCTGCCAGTTCTCGCTGGCTAATATAACCTAGTGTTTGCCTACATTATCAGCCTATTACTACCTACATTAAGGTCTTACGTCTACATTATTATTATCTACAGTTGCCTCGATAGTCCTAATGTTAGTTCACTAACAGTGAACTAATATTAGGACTATCGGGTAAATCTATCAATTAAGAAGTACCTTCCAACCACCTTCACCAACCCAGATGTGTGTGTTTTGGGTGGGTGTAAGGGCCACCCAACCCAGCCGTTCCATCCGTGACATGTTGGGATCTTCGTACGATGTATCTGTCCTGTGGAACTTTAGGACCGAATAAATTTCCACAAGGTTATTGAAGGTGAGAAATGCTTTACATAATAAGATAAAGTAATACAACAGCAATATACGAAACAGTTGTATTTTACAGCATACTCTCTCTCTCAGTAGATAAAATATAAAGTTTCATATCACGTGAAAAACGGTATAATAATTCCAGGCCTAGCCAAGAGTATGTCAAGTTGCCTGAAGAGAGTACCGAGTATCTGTTTCGCTATTACCACCTGAAGGAGAACCGGGGAATCCTTTAGCATTTTTTGAAACTTCAACGATAATTTTTGTGGAATTTATTTTTTATAATTTTCCTAAATTCAGCATGTGTAAATACGAATATAATAAATGCGTATTAAAATGTGACAATAATTTGACCCTTCGAAAAATTTGATGTGCAGTGGCCGCAGAGTGATACAGGGAGAGAGATGCCATAAGGAATTAATGTGCAAGTACTGGTTGTGGTGAAATAGTCTAGTAATCCAGCATTATTGAGGCCATAGTCGAATGGATCGGCCTCAGACTATAATTAATAAGTACTTGAATGTCCCCTGTTGAAGCATAGGGACAGAATTTGTGGGGCCTCCAAAATTAGGTGGTGATAGAAGAAATAATGAGGCGTCACTGTGCATCACATCCAGTATGTACACCATTAGTCCTTTCATTTAGATTTCACGCTGGGCAGCAAGATTCTATTTGTTAGGTAGGCGTTGTGGGGTGATCCAACTACAGTATAAATGGTAAGTGGTAATATCAATTTCTTAATTATCTAACATTTGGTACATATGTGCAGGTGTAAATTACAAAATTTTTACCCTGTCTTTGTGTATTAGTGTTCTCATTAATCCTTTCTGGAGATCATTTCCTTTAATTTTCAAACAGTCCACACTATTTATAATTTACCATTATTTGTATTAATGTTTAATACTGCAATTATTAATTTAATGTCATGTCAACCTTTTTTGCGAGAGTGGTGAAAGAGTGGGCATAGAGGGAGTGACAGTCCTGTGACCAAGTCCCATTTACCTCACCCAAATTACTTACATGTAATAATTCAGATAATACCAAAGTAGGGTCTGATTCAGAGAAGGCAATATATTCACCATCAATTATTCAACAGCAGTCTTACCAGAAGTGTATGGTTGTTACAGATTCAGAAACATTCCGAATCTTCAATAACATCCTTACCTCTGTTTTTTGTCAGTAATTCTGGAAAAATTCCCAAACTTTGTCCATTGTAAATATTTCATAACCACTTATCTTGCCTACATACTCCCGTAACTTGCATAGCCAAGCAAGGAATATGTGGTATTGTAAATATCTTGTAACTATGTATATGCTGTATAATGTTTCATGTTCTTACCAAGTTCCTCCATCAATTCATTTGGAAATAGTTGAATACTTTTGTAATTTTACAGTTTTTAATAACTTCCATCTCATTCAAAACTTTTTTAAATGCCACATTGCTCCCCTGTCCTTCTCTCTATTGTATGCCATTTCTTAATCCATAAATGTAAATACCTCCCATACTTTAAGTTATTGTTCACTTGAATGTACAGTGAACATTTAATCCACATATTCACTTTCCTTGTTAAATTATCCTTCCTTGTTTGCATTCCTAATTTCTACCTTTCTGAATTTTTTTTCCTGTAAAATAACTGAAGTATTTATTGTGAATAACTTCAATTTCTAATTACTGTTGCATCTTATGAAAAAACGATGATGTTTTTTTTAATTTGGCAGGTGTAGGTGCAAATTTGCCAATTTATTAACTTTTATTTAACAAAGAATTGTTGGACTTCATGTAATGGCCTGGTGGCCTGGTGGCTAAAGCTCCCGCTTCACACACGGAGGGCCCGGGTTCGATTCCCGGCGGGTGGAAACATTTCGACACGTTTCCTTACACCTGTGTCCTGTTCACCTAGCACCAAATAGGTACCTGGGTGTTAGTCGACTGGTGTGGGTCGCATCCTGGGGGACAAGATTAAGGACCACAATGGAAATAAGTTAGACAGTCCTCGATGACGCACTGACTTTCTTGGGTTATCCTGGGTGGCTAACCCTCCGGGGTTAAAAATCCGAACGAAATCTTATCTTATCTTATCTTAATGAATTTTTTTGGTTGGCTTCAAGCTATTAGCACTGCTTTTTTTTTCTCACTGGCATCTTCATGTTGATTTTGTGTTGTGTAGGTTTACCTTTTAAACAAATGGATGTTTGTCCAATAATTATAAAAATGTCTTTTCTGACAGGCTTCAAGCCTTAAATTCGAAAATATCACGAGTACTTAGACATTTAAATGCATTTGAAATGTGTGCCGGTAGAGGATCTCTGAGTATGACATACTGGGATACCTTTATCGGATCACGCAACACGCAAAATCTACTTTTTTGATAGGCTTACACTGTGCACTAGAATTTAAAATAGTAAAAAAATTCTAATTCATAATATATATGGCCTTTCAGCCTTAAATTTATATTTTTTATTTTGTGATAATTCTACTGCAAAAATGTGTCTAAAAAAAAATTGGCTGATTTTTATGGGCCTGAAACTTGAACATCTTCAGTCATGGCCCACTCAATAGAGTTTTGGCTCATGCTCTATTTCACCTTATTCTGGCTGTGGTCCTTGAGCTGGAGCTCCCTCAGTCTTCACAACATGACTCCTTGCTCTTCGGAAGGTTAAACATATCAGTCTTAGTATTTAAGCTGAGGTAAACCTCTTCTCTTTATTGTAGAAATGTTTACGAGTCTTAAGACCTATTATTAGTAATAGATAAAAGAACAGTTTCTATGTACAGTAGGTGATTTATATAATGTGTTCTGGTTAAAAACACTTGTACCTAAAATTACAAAATAACACTTGCTCTAGTATACAAAATAACCTAGCCCACTTAACATAAATCAGAAAACTTGTGTATATGCAAGACAATCAAATCTCGTGTGACAAACTGTATGTCAGTGTTACAGACGATTACGCGAGGTCTCATGTTTGACACAAAATCGTTATTAGGACGTTTATTAAAATGTTTCACCTGCAAGAGCTTTACCAAAGACATGAGACTTAAGGCTTTATACTATTTGGTGCTAAAGGTGACTGAGGTCTATTCTCTGAGCTGTTGTCAGGACGTTGAGATTAATTATGGTAGTATGAATGGCTAACTAGCAGTCACTGTTTAGTTAACCACCACCTCACTTAAATATCACCAGTTTTAATATATTATGACCATAATTTTTGAAGGGGTGGACCGGTAAGCCAGCAGAAGGCCTCGTTCAAATGACCAAAAGCTCCAACTGCGAGTTATCATATGACTAAGACCTGTGTCAGGAAACACTTGTCCTGTTTCTTGGTGAACCTTACGTAACCTATCCTAACTTATGATGTAAATTTTGTCTCTTCACAGAGCTTTCTATACTCGCTTGTTACTTTCATACGTACAAAGGTGCGTGTGGTGTAGTTGATCAACCTGTTCTAGTAAACCGTAGATTTCTTATACATGTGTATATGGTTTTAAACAATAAATGCAATTATCTAAAAATTCTATTTAATTCTATAAGATTAGGAAGTTTTACTCAAAGTTAATATTCCTTTTTAATCATAAATGTTAATTTTAGTGGCAAAAATTAATTTTTCTAAAACTGCTAGACAACACGACTAGAGAATTTAGACTTGCTAAACATGAGTTAAAATGTAATAAAATAATTGTTTTTTAATCCAGTGACATAGTCACACGTTTGACGCTAATAGCCAAAGTGATGTACCAACTTTCATAAGCAGGATGGACTGTGGTTGGCAACTTTTCTTGTAAGATCCCCACGAGTACTTCATTAAGATTACTTTAAGTAATGAATTTTAAATTAAAAATTAACTATTTAAATTTTCAGAATATGCATACATACGCTTAGACGACCTTGATGTTGTAGCAACATTGGGAGTTGGTGGATTTGGACGCGTGGAACTAGTACAATATGCCCATGACAAAACTATGACCTTCGCCCTTAAGTGCCTTAAAAAACAGCACATAGTTGAGACGCAGCAACAAGAACACATTTATTCCGAGAAGAGGATTATGATGGCAGTTCGGAATCCATTTGTTGCACGGTAAGAAAACTGCATATGAGGGAAAGTACCTTCTCTGTAGTCACTTGTCATCCTAATATTGTATACAGAAAGACACTATGCAGACTCAACATTCTGTCTACTCCACCAGCAGTGCAGCCATGATTTCAGTTGGGGGGGGGCTAAAGCCAGGATTTCATTTTGGGAGAAAGAAAAAAGCCAGGATTTCAGTCTAGGGGAAGGACTAAAGCCAGGATTTCATTCTGGGAGAAGGACAAAAGCCAGGATTTCATTCTAGGGGGAGGACTAAAGCCAGGATTTCATTCTGGGAGGACAAAAGCCAGGATTTCAGTCTAGGGGGAGGACTAAAGCCAGGATTTCATTCTGGGAGTAGGACAAAAGCCAAGATTTCATTCAGGGAGAAGGACAAAAGCCAGGATTTCATTCTAGGGGGAGGACTGAAGCCAGGATTTCATTCTGGGAGAAGGACAAAAGCCAGGATTTCATTCTGGGGGAGAGTTTAAGCCAAGATTTCATTCTGGGGGAGGGTTTTAAGCCAGGATTTCTTTCTGTGGTGGATTAAAACTAGGATTTCATTCTGGGGAGGGCTTAAGCCAGGATTTCAATCTGAGAGGAGAGATTAAGCCAGGATTTCAACCTTGGGCAAGCTGCCCCTCCTTTTCTGCCTTTAATAATTCCTGTTTCTGTTTCACATTAACTTAATAGAGCTGATATGGAGGAATTTGCTAATCAGATACTGAACTGTTTGGCATCTAGAAAATTTAATAATTTTTTTTTTTTTTTTGGGGGGGGGAGGCTCTAGGTGATTTATTCAACTTTTCTGTTTTTGTTTTTTTTTTCAGTACATTTTCTCAGCGTAGTGAGCAGCGGAAGCCTGTGAAAATTGCCAGGTGATGCTGAGTCGTCATCATTGTTGATTTCATCAGTGTATTCACTACCTTCCCTTGATGTGCTTAATATGTCTGTGCCTCATCTGATGGTCCCACACATAATGCAGATTCTCACTATAATAATTTTTAACACTGATTTAGTACACTGGCAGTACCCCTTCCATTTAACACACTGACAGTACCCCTTCCATTTAGTACACTGACAGTACCCCTTCCATTTAGTACACTGACAGTACCCCTTTCATTTAGTATACTGACAGTACCCCTTCCATTTGCCTGTAAATTCACCCTGATTCTCTCTCCTGTTTTGTCTATCTCAGACTTTCAATCCATCACTGAATGACCCAAAAGACTTTAGAATTTTCCATGTATTCAGTTATTAAAAATAATGATTTTAACCTTATATGAAATCGCACTTCAGACTGTACAAGACTTTCCGAGACAACAAGTATGTCTACATGATGATGGAGGCATGTTTAGGAGGTGAAGTCTGGACACTACTGCGTGACCGTGGCTGGTTTGAAGACCTCACTGCGAGATTTTATACTGCGTGTGTAGTGGAGGCGTTGGAGTATTTGCATGCTAAGAACATCATTTACAGAGACCTCAAGCCAGAAAATCTCTTGCTGGATTCTACAGGATATGCAAAGTTGGTGAGTATGTTGCTGTGTGAGGAAGAGCATCTTATGACTTCTCAGGAAGAAATATAGGAATTGAATTTGTGTTCCAATTCCCTGAATTGAGCCTGAATGCCTCCCCCCCCCTCCACACAGGCGCAGTATAAGCCCTACGGCTTTAGCTCCCCATCATAAAAAAAAATATTATTAATCACACTCCAGTGACCATCCACAGTGTCTTCTAAGAATAATGCACCAACTTTTGTGATATATTAAAATGAGTTTTTTTTTTAAATTGATTTTGCCCCATGAAGGCACCAGTTTACAGTTTCTGTTGAATAAACTGTTTAGAATGAAATACTAGTTTACATGAAATCGTCTGTATTCCTTATAATAAAGTCATGCATTATTTTGTGTAAATTCTTCATTCACTTGTCGGCTGGCTGCCTCTGCCACACACCATGTCATCTGGTGACCCCATGATCAATGGTGGTTTTGGTTTTCTCAGTCTGGTATCAGTTGGTCCGGGCTGAGCCACCTTGCGAAGCTGTATTATATACATTAATGTTAATATAAACACAACACCAATGGAAGTAAGTCACGCTAATTTTTTGGGGAGGTTAATGTTTTGGTCTCGCTAGTGTTTTAGGAGAAAGAAACTTACGATAACATTACAGTCTGACTTAGACCATAAACTAGTCACACATCGTCATACTACAGTATATTTCTCTCTCCTATTTGTGGGTTATTCTCGTATTGTTACAGAGTATTGTGCCTTTATGTTCCTTCTTGTATGTTCATGTTGTATTACTCTTATATACCTGCATCATTATGAACCTTTGGATCTATTGTACAGATCTATAATAATCCATGTGCTCTCTCAAAAATCTTTTGTGGGTTTCCTGAATAATGCTTATCTTAGCAACTTTGTGCCAGGTGACTGAATTTTAGTTCTAGTCTGCATCTCAAAATGCCATACATACATCATTATGACCTATGAATTTATATTTCATAATTCACGAACATTTATTCTAAGTGTACCTTCCATAAATATTATATATTATCTGTGATGCAGTTTTTTTTTATTATTATAGGTTGATTTTGGATTTAGCAAGAAACTTGGGCCTAGTAGCAAAACGTGGACATTTTGTGGCACGCCTGAGTATGTAGCCCCCGAGATCATCCTCAACAAGGGTCACGACAAAGCGGTGGATTACTGGTCAATTGGCATCCTCATGTATGAACTGCTGACTGGAACGTAAGTAACAGTGTACATAACACGAGGATGAAGTGTAGTGATCTCTGACTCCTTACATGGTAATCATTGTTACTTTGTTCTCTCATACTTAGACAAATATGCAATGCAGTTTAGAATTGTATGATATATATATTTAACCGTACAGTACATACTACAGTCTTAGAATTCTCTTGTGTAAGTGAGGTACCTAGGAAGGCTAGATTATTTGAATGACTTGTGGCAGAGTGGAATTCGATGTCTTAAATTATTGTAAAGATGTTGGTTCTTATGTAGCACTTTGTGATAGAACACAAGACAGTAATAGAACACAAGGCACTTTTGTCATCCTTCACACAGTTGTGCAGCGACACTTTACAGACACTGTTCCGGACATCCAAAAATAAGAATAACAACAATAACCAATCACCAGAGTTGAAACCTATATCCATTCTCGAAGATGGAGACTAATGCCCAACTAATGCAGAGATACTGGCGTTCCATACATATACATAACTGGTCAACACTTACCAGTGAGGGAGCTCAAACCAACACAAAAATTCTGGAAATGTTAGTGTTATAGTCACTTTGGAAATTATTGCAGGTCACAGAATATCCAGTCTGTGACTGCCTCCCTCCCTCTCTTCTTGCCTTAGCTGCAAGAAACATGTCCCTCGTATTCTCGCCCGTACATCATTTTCCATTTGGAAAGCAAAAACCTGGTGTCTGAAAGAGAAAGAGGGTCTGTCTTGTAACCTGGCTATTGTCGAGCTCTGTCTACAGAGAAAAAAAACTCTCGTCTCCTATTCCAGAGTCGCCAGGCACCTCAGTGCCCAGTAGTGCCTTCCTGTACTCTCACTCCAACTTACAGGCAGCTCATAAAGATGATGTTTCTAACTTTTCACCTTCTGTTAACTATAGTATACCAAAACTTACACAGTCCTCTTCAGTTGTTTGTTCGACGCTTGCACCTCAATCCCAAAGATCCTCAAAATTTGCCACCATGAGACCTGGCAATAATACTATTATTCCTTTACAAACCTTGATCTCTCACCAGTTGCTGAAGACTTAATCTTCTCTTACATCATTAGCAGAAATACACATACCCTCACACTTTTCCTGTCCTCTTCAGACACAAGAAGTTGCTCTTTCCTTTACAGACTCCATCACTTGAGCCAACTAGGCTTTAACTACTATTCCCATCCATGATGGCCACCAGCGCCTCTATCCCATTTTCCTCCCACTTCCTACACAATACACACTGTCCACCTCCCTGCTTCTAGAGTCACTTCAAGCCAATACTGCCTGTCTTGAAGATACACAGCTGGAAATGGATTTCAACAAGCCCTTGTCTGAATCAAAAACATGCTTCGTGACTGGCTACAACTTGACATTAATATCAGCATTACCCCTCCCTCGAGGGGAATGCATTACAAGCTACCCAAAAATAGGACTCCTGCATCCTATTGTGCTTTATGTACTATAATAGTTATGCTAGATTGCTAGTCAACACACTTTTTTTTTTTCTTTTTTTGGCTGGGACCCTACTTTCAGAATAACGAACATGTAGACTTGGCTGCTGGGTCTGCTATTCGTGATCTGTCATCTCCCAGAATATTTTTTTTTTTATACTATTTTCTAGTACTTTCCTGAGACTCTAAAGCCCTTGGCAGTGGCATCGCTCTGAGTTAGAGGCGGACAAATTACTTTCCATCAAACTGCAATTTGGCGTCTGGCCATCTTCCTCCCATCATTTTCGAGCAGAGGACACCTTACTCACACCTTCACGAGTCGGCCACACAAGTCTCTCACATGCACATTATGTAAATAAATCTATGATACCTATTTACAGAAAGTGCCAGATGGCTTTGACAGTTACTTAATCATCTGTTAACAGACTTTCCTATCTATCAGAGACCACAAAGAATTCACTTTCGACATCTTCAACATCCAGACACTCACTGTAACTGTCTTCCTCACTGAAAGCCCCCCCACCATTGATGCAGACTCCATCTTTAACTTTTTAATAAAAAGCAACTTATTGGACCAACTGGGACATAAATTTTACAACTTTGATAACCCTGAGTTTTACTAACCCGTACAATTTAAGCCACCTATATACATTCAGTGCTTATTTTTTTATATAATAATGTACATATACAGTATTAGTTAGAAATACTAATGTGTTTTGAAAATATTAGCATTCAGTTGTACAATAAATGAATTCACACTTGTAGTGACTTTTTCCCTCTATTCCACAGGCCACCTTTTACAGCTTCAGATCCAATGAAAACATACAATATTATTCTAAAAGGCATCGACATGATTGACTATCCACAACATGTGACCCGCAATTCTATCTCACTAATCAAGAGACTTTGTCGGGAGAGCCCGGCGGAAAGACTTGGATATCAGCGAAATGGCATACAAGATATCAAGAAACACAAGTTAGTACTTATTCTCATTATTTCCAATCATGTTTCTAATAATGTTGGTAGAATTACCGACAATATGTAAAGTAAAAGGACACAAGTGCAACTAATGTGACACTTTATTGTGGTAGTATTACTACTACTACTACAACTTTTGTCACTACTACTACTACTACCACTAGTATTGCACCTCACTCTGAGCCTATATATACCCTCTGTGTCCATGTACTGTTTGTAACGGCTTGACAAAGCTCCTGGAGAGCGAAACGTTGCCACAATAAAATGTCACATTAGTTGCACTTGTGTCCTTTTATGATAATGTTTCTTTTTTATTTTTATTTGTATTTTAAAATAACTAAGAGCGGATAGCGGGACGGTGACCCTGGGAATCAACAAGTAAACTACTCCTCTTTGTTGACAGGTGGTTCCTAGGGTTTGACTGGGATGGACTGCGAGCAAGATCACTCCAACCACCAATAATTCCAAAGGTATGGAATACTAATGTCATATCACATCTCTGTACTATACAATATGCTGTCAAAGTATTAAGTCATTATTCTTATTGTCCAACCTAGGTGGGTCTTAGGGTAGGTCAGATAGACAAAAATTGGATAATAGATTTCATCTTCCAGGTAAAAAAACATCTTTGCCTAATCATATAACTTATTTTACTCAACCATAGGACATTTGCCTGGAATAATTGATTTAATTTTATTTGACTTTCAAATATATTTCCGGTTGATACATTTTATCTGCTTTCAGAACTATCCTCCTAAAGCTAGATAATAGCACTAGTCAGTGATCGAGTTATTGAATTATATCATTATTATTATTATAAAAAAAAATGAAGTGCTAAACTATCGAGTAATTGAGGTAATAGATCCGCTCTGGCTGGAAAGTCTGACCGGATAGTAAATGAAGGTTTGTATTCTGAAAACTACACCTATCCATGACATTTCTCAAACACTTGTGTCAGTGGACCTTGGTGAGTGAGTAGAAGTAAAACGAGAGGCTAAGTTTGGGCTCCACATAATAAATCGGCTGCTTATGTACAGCTTCACTTAGGTCTGATCCAGCCCTCTTCTCAGCTTCTCTAGTCTCACTTGCCTCCACACTACCCACAGCTCACTTCTACTGTGAATCCCACAGCTCACTTCTACTGTGAATCCCACAATCTAGATTCCCTCTACTGTTCTGTAATCCATCCCTCGTTGTCGGGTGGCCTTCCAGTGAGACCAGGTGGCTATCCAGCAGACCTGATGGCAAAAATAATACTGAAAGTTGCCTGTGTATCAGTGAGTAGCAACTGATGGTGTACTGTTCCTAGCATTCATTCCATTTTGACCGTCTGAAAAAAAAAAAAGTTACGCTATTAGTGCTCTTTATAAGTACAGTGGACCCTCGAGTTTCGGCAGCCTCGACTTTCGTGAAATTCGACCTTCGGCGAGTTTTTTTTTTTTAATTCGGCCTCGAGTTTCGTGATTAGACTCGTGTTTTGGCAACCGTCCGGTACCCGTCTGCCCGTCACCGCACACACCAAGCCAGTCTCCCACGACATTCATGCTCAGTGTGCCACTGTTCACCAACACGTGACCATCATCCCGCAGGTTCATACGTAATAATCCATTGTTTTTTGTGATTACAACTGCTAAATAAGTCGCCATGAGCCCAAGGAAAGCTAGTACAAGCCCTTTGGTAAAGAAAGTGAGGAACACGATCGAATTCAAGAAGGAAATCATTGAAAAATATGAGAGTGGAGTGCGTGTTACAGAGCTTGCCAGGATGTATGGCAAACCCCATTCAACCATCACTTCAATTGTGGCAAAAGGAAAGGAAATTAAGTGTGCTGTTGTTGCAAAAGGGGTGGATATGCTGACAAAAAGGAGATCACAAATCCTCGAAGAAGTGGAGAGGTTATTGTTGGTGTGGATTACCGAAAAACAGTTAGCAGGAGATAGTATTACGCAGTCGATATGTGAAAAGGCAAGGCAGTTACATGACGATCTCGTAAAGAAAATACCTGCAACAAGTGGTGATGCTTGTGATTTTAAGGCCAGCAAAGGTTGGTTTGAGAGATTTAAGAAGTGTAGTGGCATTCACAGTGTGATAAGGCATGGTGAGGCTGCCAGTTCTGACAAAATTGCAGCTGAGAAGTTTGTACAGGAGTTCAAGGAGTGCTTAGACACTGGAGAATTCAAACCCCAACAAGTGTTTAATTGTGACAAAACAGGCCTACAACACGCAGGAGGAAGCGGCACTCCCAGGACACAAGCCTATGAAGGATAGGCTTACTCTCATGTTTTGTAGTAATGCTAGTGGGGATTTTAAAGTGAAGCCTTTACTGGTGTATCACTCTGAAAATCCCAGAGTGTTCAAGAAATACAGTGTCACCAAGAGTAATTTGTGTGTGATGTGGAAGGCTAACAGTAAGGCATGGGTCACAAGGGATATTTTCCTAGACTGGTTTAATGAAGCGTTTGGCCCCAGTGTGAAGAAATACCTCCTGGAAAATAAACTGTCACTCAAGTGCCTGCTGTTACTGGACAATGCTCCTGCTCATCCTCCAGACTTGGAAGAGCAAATAGTGGAGGAGTTTAGTTACATCACGGTGAAGTTCTTGCCCTCTAATACAACTCCTCTCCTCCAGCCCATGGACCAGCAGGTCATTTCAAACTTCAAAAAACTCTACACAAAAGCAGTGTTTCAAAAGTGCTTTGAAGTGACCTCAGACACTGAATTGACCCTAAGAGAGTTCTGGAAAGATCACTTTAATATCCTCCATTGCATAAACCTTATAGGTAAGTCTTGGGAGGGGATGACTTCCAGGACTTTGAACTCTGCTTGGAGAAAACTGTGGCCAGATTGTGTAGAAGAGAGGGATTTTGAAGGGTTTGTGGCTGACCCTAAGGAGCCTATGCCAGTTGTGGAAACTATTGTGGCATTGGGGATGTCCCTGGGGTTGGAGGTGAGTGGTGAGGATGTGGAAGAGTTGGTGGAGGACCACAGGGAAGAGCTAACCACTGAAGAGCTGCAAGAGCTTCATCTGCAACAGCAAGAGATCACAGCTCAGGAAACTGCTGCAGAGGAGGAGGAAGAGAGATGGAGGAAGGTGCCTTCTTCAAAGATTAAGGACATTTGTGCAAAGTGGACTGAAGTGCAAACATTTATGGATGAACTTCACCCTAACAAAGCTGTTGCAGGCCGTATTGGCAACATGTACAATGACAGTGTTGTGTCCCACTTCAGGGAAATCTTAAAGAAACGCCAGAAACAGACCTCTCTGGACAGATATTTTGTGCAACAGGGGTCCAGTGACTCAAGTTGTTCCCAGTGGCATTAAAAGAAGGGAAGTAACTGCAGATATGGACTTCATACCTGAAGTCCTAATGGAAGGAGATTCTCCTTCCAAAAAATAGTGTACACCTTCCTCCTATCCTCTCCTCCCGTCTTCCATCCACGCAGAAGTCTTCAGTAAAGGTAAGTGTAATGTTATTATAATTTTTTTAAATGGATGTACTTGATTTCTGATTGTTTTCATTATGTAAATATTTAATTTGAAAAAAAAAAAAATTATTTTAATATTTTTTGGGTGTCTGGAATGGATTAATTTTATTTCCATTATTTCTTATGGGGAAAATGGTTTCGAGTTTCGTGAATTTCGACTTTCGGCAAGCTCTCTGCAACGGATTAATCACGAAACTCGGGTCCACTGTAGTTGGTTTTACTGAGCCTTGTTCAGTTAATTTTGAATGTGCCATCCTGGTGCACACCAGGTATAAGAGAAACACTAGCACTACCCAGTCACCTTGAGGGCCACCGCAGTTCAGGATCTGCGAGTGGTTTCTATTCATCCATTCTCAAAGTAGGTTCCCCACATAGAAATTAATTTTACGTCAGAAGTAACAAGTTCTCTATTCTGATATTCCAGTGACAGTGATATCTAGACCACTGCACAGACACGGACTCATCTTAGAACCCGGCACTGGTTTCAGATTCAAATTGTGGTAGTTTACAGTGAGGGTTTACAATGATTTGTATTGCAAAGAAAGCCACTATCATGCCTTGGCATTATGGGCAGTTTAAACTTAATAGATTACCGATTACTTAACACTAGACGTACAAAACAAGTTTGATCAGGTTGCACTAATTATATAACAGGTTATACTTCTATTAAATATATGTTCTTCAACATTTGCAGTAGGTTAAAATATGAAAATTTATTGTACTTTGAGCATTTACTAGGGGAGTAATCATATTTTGAGACGGTGGAGAATGATTTGGTAGCTTTGTAGGTAAAGTTAAGTACCGAGTACATGTATGTATTTAGTTTTGGGTGAGAAGGTAGTTTTAAGAAGAGTCTTGAATTGATGTACAGACAGGGTTCCTTTACTATTCACTGGTAATGAATTCCAAATTTTTGGGCCTTTTATGTGCATAGAGCTTTTACGTAGTGCGAGACGAACATGGGGAATATCAAAGAGTGATCTGTGTCTTGTGTTATGGTCGTGTGCCCTGTTAAGGTTGGTAAGGATAAGTTTGAGTGGAGGGTTTATATTTGAGTGAAGTGTTCTATGTATGTAGTAGGCACAATAATAAGTATGGATGTTCTTTATGGTGAATAAGTTTAGGCTTTTAAATATTGGTGAAATATGCTGTCTGGAGTGGGAACTTATTATTCTTACTTCAGATATAACTTCTTGCATGAGGCCAGTCCAGGTGTACTGCCCCTTACCACTAAAAACCTCTGACTCCAACTTCACTTTGACCATGGAACTGGCTTCTCCCACAGATTCTCCACACGTCAAAAGATAAACTGGCTGATGGCCATCTACCGAAAGACTTCAACAGACAATTGCTGATGCTAACACTATAACTCGCACACCTCGCTCACACTCAACCCTGCCTGGAGCCCTCTCCTCTGCAAGAAATTTTTAAAAACATTAATGGACCAAAAGCTTCTTCAGCTGATAATTCCTGAAGCCTTCTTTACAGACCTTCACAGGCCATCACATAGAAACTAGAAAGCTCAACCCAACATCGCAACAATCAGAGGCGGCTCCAGAATTTCTGTATTGGAAGGGGATGGAGGGAGGGGCATAGAGGTAGCTATCTGGTTGGACACACGATTCAAACACTGACACCTCATGGAGAGACACCCAGCATCTCTCTGCGAGATCTTCCAGGTCGAGATATCAGCTCTTCACATTAACAGACTGTTCAATCTATCAGAGAGCACACAGACTTCACATGTGATATCTTCAATGCCCTAACGTGCTCACACTGACTGACATCCTAACTGAAAGCTTCATCTTCAGTACAGACTCCCTCTATAACTCTTTTAATAAGAAACTTATCTATTACACCAAATATGACTAATTTTATGCCTCCACTAACTCTTAACCCCACTAACCCCTGCACCTCCTCCAACACTGAGTTCTATAAGTCATACAAGTTTACTCTTACTGAGAGGAAGTAAATGGCTGTGTTTAACCTTCCAGGGAAGGAAGGCTGTGACAATCCTTGTGGGAAGGGACGTTGTCCCTATCCTTATGGAAATGTGGCCTCCGCCAAATCTTGCAGGGAAGGGAAAGGGCTCTGTCAGACTTTGTGGGAAAGGTGAGGGTTCTGCCAAATCTTGTAGGGAAGGGAAATGGGTTCTGCCAAATCTTGCAGGGAAGAGGGATAGTGTCTGCCAAATCTTATGGGGAAGGTGGGAGTTTTTGTCAAATCTTGTAGGGAAGGGGGGATTGTCAAATCATGTGGGGAGAGGAAAAAAGCTCTGCCAAACTTTTCTGGGATGGTAGAGGGTTCTGCCAAATCTTTCAGGGAAGGTGGGGGGGGTCTCATCAGATCTTGCAGGGAAAGTGGGAGTCTCATGAAAACTCTACAGGGATGGTGGAGCTCCAATTTACCTTGTGGAAAGGGGGCTCTATCATATCTTTTGTGGAGTGGAAAGCTCCACCAAATCTTGTTGGAAGTATGGACTCCACCTTATCCTGACATGTGTGAAGAGCCCACTCCATTACTGCAGTTCACAAAAATCGTGCAAAAGGCATTTGCCATACTCGCACTCAAGAATCCAATCTTGTTGAATCAATCATGAGTCTATACTGTATGAAAGCTGTGGGGTTCCTGAAGATAAGATTTTTTTCATTTTTTTTATAGTAAGATTATTTATTTGCTCTGTTATGCATGCACTGATTTGAATAGTCATACTAAGAAAACAAAATATATAGTATGTAGTGAAAATGAAAAATCAGAATGCAAGTAGCTTCTAAGTAAACTGCACACTATTACAGATTTATGAAATTTGTTACAGATTAAAGGGCCTGCTGATGCTAGCAACTTCGATTCCTACCCAAGAGATGTTGATGTTCCAGGCGATGAGTTGAGTGGTTGGGACCTCGATTTTTAAACTCAACTTACACATACTGGTGTTTCATGTTCTGGAGGAATAAAATATGAAAAAACTACTCCTCCAGATTGAAATTTTGAGAAAATACAGCATAAACTATAATGCCTTTAAAGAAAACCTCAATTACTAGAAAGTTGTATATTCACTTAGAACATTTATATGGTGTTAGATAAATATATGAATATCAATTCCTCCTTTTATATACTGAAAAATGCAGATCATTTGTAACATTTGCATATTTTATTCTTACAGAGGATTGAAAAACTAAATTTCTTGCACGTTATACTGTACTCTAGTAAAGTATTTAAGGTCTTTCTTGGTGCCTCTGTGGAGATTTCTACCAAGCTGCTACCTCTGCATAAGGCATTCGTGGCTTGATTTTGGTTATTAAATTTACACACTGACAACACCTGGGTAGTTGTGCATCACTCTGGCCACCACAGTCAGATGTGTCTATATGTGCAGATATGTATTTACTGTACAGGTATATAATTTTAATTTATTCAAGAAGAATACTTAATATTTTTATTATACCTTAGTAAAGTATGTGTATGTAAAACTTTTATTTTTTTTATTAACACATCGGCCGTCTCCAAGGCAGGGTGGCCCCCCCAAAAAAAACTTACATCATTCACTCCATCACTGTCTTGCCAGAGGTGCACTTACACTACAGTTATAAAACTGCAACATTAACATCCCTCCTTCAGAGTACAGGCACTGTACATCCCATCTCCAGGACTCAAGTCTGACCTGCCAGTTTCTTTAAATCCCTTCCTCACACTCCAACAGCATTTCAAGTCCTAAAAACAATTTGTTTCCATTCATTCCTATCTAACATGCTCATGCATGTTTGCTGAAAGTCCAAGCCCCTCGCCCAAAAAACCTCCTTTATCCCTCTCCCTCCAACCTTTCCTAGGCCGACCACTACCCTGCCTTCCTTCCACTACAGATTTATGCACTCTCAAAGTCATTCTTTTTCGTTCCACCCTCTCTACATATCCAAACCACCTCAATAACCCCTCCTCAGCCCTCTGGATAATAGTTTTGGTAATCTCACACCTCCTCCTAATCTCCAAACTATGGATTCTCCACATGATATTCACACCACACATTGCCCTCAGACATGACATATAATATATACACTCACACGCACATACAAAATATATATTTGATTTAATTTTACATAGCTATAATTTTGTGCTGTACATACTGATCATCTGCTCCTTCCTGTACAGTACTACACTGTTAGGAAAACTACTACCAAACTATAAATTGTAGAATTATTAGAAGTCCCCTTGTTAGTGAAACACAATCATTGCCAAAAAAAAAAAAAAAAAAAAAAAAAAAAAAAAAAAAAAAAACTTTGATTACAGTGATCATTGGTTCAGTGTGAGTTGTAAGTTTGTTATATCAGGTTCATCAAGCTTTGGTTGTTGGCACATGAAGGTTTTGGAGAATTTTTCTTAATTTTGTTTCTGTGTATGGAATTTGATAAATTAAATTTTAATAATACAGCAAAATTAATTACTTCATATACACTTTTTCAAAGGTGTCACCAGTTAATGTAAATTATTATTTTGTAATAAATTTGTTGTATTTTTATTTAAAATAGTTACATTAAGTACTTTACCCATGTAAGGAATATAATATATGATAATTTCAATGAATGCTGTTACTTCTTAAAGGGGATCCACATCTTGTTGATGCATTTTAATTTTCCTATATGATTTTAGCAGTTCTTATTTTTTCCCCATATATTCAGAAGAAAGTTTACAAGTGTAGACAGGTGCAGAAACATGTCGTAATAACTTTCACAAATAGGCACAGCGGCTTTTCCCTATTTTTGCAAATGAAATAGCAATATGCTAATGCTAAATGATTAAGATATACGGTTTTGCAATTTAACATTAGCTCAATATTCTTTCACAATTCTAATATTCTTTCACAAGTGCGCTGATAATATTTATACCATTTCTACACCAATGCAGTAGTCTGCATAACAGTAAATCTTCTATTTTTTTGTGAGAATAAAAATTCAAAGTGGAAAGCAAAAGAATGTAAGAGGGGCATGGGGACATGACTAATGAACAGAGGAAATGTTATTTTAGTGCCAGGAATGTCTTGTTTATTCTGGACCCTATTCGGAAATCGGCATCTTTTGAAATATGTGTGAAATTGGCAAAATTGCTAAATTCTGACCACTGTATTGGATAGTTGAAATCGGTAAATGGGTGGTTTCTTATACTCATTCGATAGAAAAAATGGAGTTCTAGCGAAATAGTTATGATTTCTGTCGACAAGTACACTGGAATTGGCCGAAAATAGGGCTCAAAGTGGGCAAAATCGCCGATGCATAAACATCGTCGAGACCGCTAACTTCGCAAGAGCATAATTCCATGAGTTTTCCATCAAATTTCATACTTTTGGTGTCATTATGATAGGGGAAAGATTCTCTATCTTTTCATATGAAAAAATAATTTTTTTTTTTTTTTTTGAAATTTGGCCGACCCTGAGAACAAGTCTCTGAGAGGGCCTGTCGACCCTGAAAGGTCGAATCAAATTAAGTATCCTGTCACATCAATTTTTTTTAATTTCAGGGGATATTTGTACATTTTAATTTTATATAGTGTACAGTTTTCATGTGCCTGTCTAGCTATGAGGTTTGTTAATTTTATTTTGATTGTATTTGACAGAGTTGTCATATTTTGCTTCATGTGAAAGTGAATTCTTTATTAATATTCAAAAGTTGTTTAAGTCTATAAGAAGAGGCATAAATGGAAATCTGTTTTGGCATCTAATTTTTTTTTTATAATATTCTTGAGTCATGTCCAGAATGAATGAGTGGATAAAACTGTATGTACACAATGTTCCCAAATTTGATTAGTGTACATGTATATACATCTGTCAAGTTTCCAGGATGAGTGAGCAAATGTACATATTAATCTTGAAGTTGAACGTTGCTTAGACAACGGTGTTGAATATGACTGAATACGTACACAAAATATAAGGTCAAAGGAAAATATATGGAACCTGCTTAAAAGATGTCGTATAGCCACAGTCACTTTTGCACAAGCTAAGCATTAAGATTATGTATGTTAGGATATGTATGTGTGCTGTTCTCATGAGTAGATATATCATAAGTCTTCTTGATCTTTGATCCAAGTACCCACCATGTGGGTTAACACAAGCAGATAATTGCCCTCACTAACCTGTGAAATTGTTGTTCTTCAAGACAGTCTCTCAATACAGTCTTTACTTTTCAACGACCCGGTTATACACTGTGAAGTCGTCCACCCCAGAAACTTACAAAATGTAACAAAGGATGAAAGGGAAATAGTTTTGGGTAAATACATCTCGGCACTTTGACATAAAAATTTGTTTAGCTATTCATACGTTGGTCTATTCATATTGATAGTGTGTTCGCAAATTGGGATATTAGTTTATTTTAATTATTTGAAAGTTTTATAAGTTTTTATCATTGCCTTGTGAGAGTGACAGTTTATGCTGTTTTAAACTGCTGTGAATACTAGCAGGTCATTTGATAAATATATCAAGCTACATTAATTCCTAATATTGTATGTGGTCTTATATATATTATACATGTATATCAGTCATCTGTGATCATCTAGTAATATAGAACAACTCTTTCCTAGTTTGTCACAACTAATAATGTAGATGAGAGTGAAGTGGGAACATTCAAAGATGCTCATATATACAGTGGACCCCCGGTTTGCGATATTAACCCTTTCAGGGTCCTTCCTGTAGATCTACGGCTTTACGTTCAGGGTCCAAACCATAGATCTACACTAAAATTCTAGCGGCGTCAAATTTAGCACGAGTAGGCTGGTAGGCCTACATCTGAGAGAATGGGTCTGGGTGGTCAGTGTGCACACCATAGAAAAAATCTGGACACCCGCATGGTATTGTGGGAACGCTGGCAAAGTAGCTTTGTTCATAGTGCCTGGCGGCAAGGAAGCTCTCACTCCCCACTCACTCTCCGAGCGAATTCTGACTCTCCTCTTCACAACTTACAGTTCTAAGACTGATGGAAGTGGAGCTGAAGATGAATTCTATGGTTTTGAACCATATTGTACCATTGTGCCATATGGTACAATGTACCATATGGTACAATGTACCATATAGTACATTGTACCATATGGTACATTATACCATATGGTACAGGGACCCTAATGGAAATAAGTCTGTCTGACTTTTTTGGGTTATCCTAGGTTCTCCAAACATATGCTGCTAAGTATGATATTCTATGTAACTTTATTTGTGTATAACTAAATAAACTTACTTATGATGCCACATTCAGGTGTACAGAAATACAATTACGTAGATTATCATACATAGCAGCATACATATAAAATCTTAGGATAACCCAAAAAAGTCAGGGTGATTTATTTCAATAGTTATCCCTGTATCTGTACCATATGGTGTCCTGTACTGTATGGTACCCTGTACCATATGGCACCCTGTGCCATATGGTACCCTGTGCCATATGGTAACCCTGTACCATATGGTACTCTACACATATGCTGCTATGTATGATAATTCTATGTAACTGTATTTGTGTATACCTGAATAAATTTACTTACTTACCCTGTACCATGTTATCCTGTGCATGGTACTCTATACCATATGGTACCCTGTAACATATGATACTGTGTACCATATGGTCAATAGGTGTTGGTGGCATGAGACACCAGCCAAGACTGAGTGAGTGGCGACGCAAGCTAGCTACTGACTCCGCAGTTTCCGAGACAAAGTGCTTTGTCATCCACCTCAAGGAACACGTCAGGTTCCTGTATACTTGTAAATATATAATAGAACATTACTAATATACAACATTTTTGCATATTTTTGTTGTAAACAACTATTGTAAACAAAATAATAATGAAAATATTAGTGTTTATTGTGTTGAATACAACAGTACCATATGGTACAATGAACCATATGGTATCATTGTACTGTATGGTACAATGTACCATATGGTACCATTGCATCATATGGTACCATAAGGTACCATATGGTACCATAAGGTACCATTGCACCATATGGCACCATTGTATTCAACACAATAACCGCACTAATATTTTCATCATTTTGTTTACAATAAACTTGTAAACAAGTTTTGTAAGCAATATAATGATAAACAGATTAGTGCAGTTATTGTGTTGAATACAATGAGTGTACACTAATATAATATACATTATACTGGTCTCACAGGCCACAAATGTTATTAGAAAAAGAAAAAATAGAAAAAAAAGAAAAAAGTATAAAAAACGTAAAATAAAAAAATGGGATTTTGCGGAAGCCACTGATATTGCCGCCACCCGGTCATTTTGGGTCAACTTCCCGCCGCTGTATCTCGGTAAGTACTGATCAGAAATTTTTGTTTTTTGTCTTATTACCTTCACAAAAATATACTCTTTAATTCTGTAAGAATTTAATTCTGTAAGAATTAAAGAGTATTTTTTTTTTTCAAAATTTCTTGGACACTGGAGCACCACTTCAGATTTTGGCCTTGGACCCTGAAGGGGTTAATCAGTTCCTGAGAGCTCATCGTAAACCAAAATTATCGAAAAACAAATAAATTTTCCCCGTAAGAAATAATGGAAATCAAATTAATCCGTGCAAGACACCCAAAACTATGAAAAAAAATTTTACCACATGAAATATTAAGTTTAATGCAATAGAATAATTACAATAACAATAGAATAATTGACACTTACCTTTGATGATTGATGGGATGGGAGGAGGGGAGAGTGTCGAAGTTGTTACTGTTTAGAAGGGGAATCCCCTTCCATTAGGACTTGAGGTAGCAAGCCACATTGCACACATTTCCTTAATCTTTGAAGTAGGCAACTTCTTCAATTTCTCTATCCCCTCCTCCAAAGCAGTTTCCTCAGGTCTGGCCTCTTGCTGTTGAAGATGATCTAGCAGCTCATCAGTGATTAGTTCTTCATTGTCCTCCACCAACTCTTCCACATCCTCCCCACTAACCTCCAACCCCAAGGACTTCCCCAATGCCACAATGGATTCCTCAACTGGCATACACTTCTCAGGGTTAGCCTCAAACCCTTCAAAATCCCTTTTGTCTACACATTCTGGCCACAGTTTTTTCCAAGCAGAGTTCAAGGTCCTCTTAGTCGCTCCCTCCTAAGCCTTACCTATAAGGTTTATACAATTGAGGATATTAAAGTGATCCTTCCAAAACTCTAAAAGAGTCAATTGAGTTTCTGTGGTTACTACAAAGCACTTTTGAAACATAGCTTTTGTGTACAGTTTCTTGAAGTTGGAAATGACCTGCTGGTCCATGGGCTGCAGGAGAAGAGTGGTATTAAGAGGCAAAAACTTGACCTTAATGAAGCTCATGTCCCCAGAAAGTCGCTCTGCCAAGTCTGTAGGATGACCAGGGGCATTGTCTAATACCAGGAGGCACTTAAGGTCTAATTTCTTTTCAATTAGGTAATTTTTCACATTGGAGGCAAATGCATGGTGTAATCAGTCATAAAAAAAGTCCCTAGTGACCCATGCCTTACTGTTTGCCCTCCACAGCACACACAAATTAGCCTTGAGGACATTGTTTTGCCTGAATGCTCTGGGAGTTTCTGATTGATACACCAATAAAGGCTTCACTTTGCAATCACCATTAGCTTTGGCACACATCAGAAGAGTAAGCCTGTCTTTCATAGG